ATGTTCTTCTGTGTGGAAGTAAACTTCTTTTCCAAAATAAGCTGGGCCAGCATTTCACCTAAAGAACACACACACACACAAAATGTCTTTGTCAGAATCTCAGTTAAGAGATCTCCTTTTGAGCTACTATAGAGGGCAACCCAGTTCCTTCCAAAGAAGCACATTTGCACTGGAGTGGGAAACTTGCAGCAAAGTTTTGATGATTGATTAGATGTCAAAACGTGAATCATCAGACTATGCACTAAACTGGGCGTTTGAACAACAATAGGCTCAGCATTTTAGCACTAAAAATTTTAATGGATGCTGGGAATAATATGTTCTTTTTGCAGCTGGCTAATTTGATGACTGTACTGGTAGCTTTCTGGGATTGGGCTGTGACCTCTTATGTTTGCTGTATCAGGGAAGTGGATGACTAGAAATAGGAGGACATTTACTTACTTAATGGAATGGCAATTGATTTTCCACCTGTGTTGGTATCATCCCTTGATGAAAAACACAGCTTTGGTTTTGCATATTCAGTCCGCTAGAGTTGGATGACCACCAGTTAAGGTTAGATCTCAACCAGCCTTTCATAATAAAGAGTAAGTGGCAGGAAATCTTCTTTCAAGAGAGGAGCTCCTTCTGACTCAATCATCCTGTCATTTTATTCAATCCAAAAATAGGTTAATTTGAGTTGTTGTTCCTGCTGTTATTCTGGTATATATTTAAGTAGATTCATATCTGAAATTCTGATCATCCTTGACATTACTGCTTCCTAGTTCTTTTCTGCATGCTTTCTAAGGTTTTGTTTCAGTGTGCAAAGTACAAAACTATTAAGGCAACTGCTTAATAGTCTTGGTTAGAAGATACCAACATGGCTGTATTCTCATTTTAAATGCCTTTCCTGTATAATGAATTCATTTTATTTTCATAAATATAGAGGATACACATTAGCATCCTGAAATCTATTTAGCATCCAAAGAAAAGGATGTGCATATTCATCATGTTATCAAGAGACACTAGTTACGCACACTAAATCTTTCATACTGCAAATCCTATTTATCCAGCAGGGCTTTTATGTCTGCTATCCAGGAATTTAAACCTTGAGTTAAAATGTGAGTGATAGCACTAATAAGATTAAAAGTCTTGCAGTTAGGAATCATGGTACTATAATCTTGGTATCAGCAAAAGATTTATGTACAGGTTTTTTTCCCCCTGTACAGACAATGGATAAAAAATGTAGAACAAAGCAAAGAGAGGAGCTTAGCTTCAATAACATTTAGCTGGATTTTTCAAATAACACTGCAGATAAAATGGTTATAGAATAAATGCACTCCTGTTCCTTCAAGCTTAGTGTAGCACGTAGTGCTGCATGAAGACCTTAAGCAGAGCTTGAAAATTTTTCAGGTATCATCAAATAATTATGCATGGTGGAGGGAACCAAATATTATGATAAGGATACTATCCATTCAACCATGTCTGATTCCCAGCAATTCTATTGACCAGGTCTCTCTCCATATTTCATTATCTTTTTACAGCTTCTTTTACTTGTTTTATGCCCTGGCTGGTAAGTAATATAATGTATTATATCATATACCACATTGTACCGTATCTTATCAACATATCATATCATTATGCCAAAAATACAGCATTTCAGGATTCTTTCCCAAGATATTGAAGAACTACATTTTTAAAATAATTTTCAGACTTCAGGAGGTAAAAATGAAATATTGTGAGGGGCGCTGTGATTTTGAAATAAAAAAGATACTATATCTGCGGATGCAACATTGCCAAACTCTCCATTTATATATGTCTATGAATTATCCTACTAGAGAAAAAATTCTCAATAAATATCATGGGGTGATGTACACATACACATGTTCACAGTAAATAAATAACTGCAGCTGTGAATCTGAACATACTTTCCTTAATTTAATAAGCTTTCAAAAGCTAGCATTTTGTGATTTAAAATGGTTTTTACAACCTAAGGATAGGAAGAAATGAAATAATAATTGGGAATCTTTCTCAACATGAAGTCCTCCTGCTATATTGGACTTCAACTTCCAGGTTTATGTGCACAAGGTCAAGGAGAAAAAAAATTAGAAAAAAATCTGCAGTCTGGAAAAATCAGCAGCGTCCACCACAAGGTGGAAGAACTCTCAAATGACAGTGTTTGTGTGATGACATTATACAAATGCCACCATTATGTAGTTCCGTTTTGCTGTCTGAAATATGTATGCGAATTTGTCCAATGTCATTGCTATTCACCTTTAGTGATTTGTCTTCCTCCTTTTGCCCACCCCCATGGACACCCATGAACTCCTTAATTTAGAAAATGTCAATGAAATGTCATAGAGGCTCAGGCAAGCTGTAATCAAATAAAAGGGATCTTTAGGTTACCAGCTGAGTCGTACAATTTATTTCTCTGTTTCACACAGCTATAGAAGACAAGTAACCTGCTGTGGATTTATGTAGACAATTACCTTACTAACCTCGGCCCCACTTCCTCAACAAGACAACTCAACCATATAGTGATTATCCCCTCATTTTAAAAAATGTAACATTCCTATTATGCAAGACTTTCTAATTAGTTAATGAAAATAAATAAATAAATAAATAAATAAAGGCCATCAGAATATACATTAATTAAGCTGCCATATGTTAGAATTACAATGGCATTAAAAAAAACATTTCCTTCTCAACTCTTATATGTTTGTTTCTTCACTATGTGTTTCTACAGAAATCCTTCACAGCACCTAGCATAACAACATAAGAAGTCTGCTGAATCAAGCCAAGGATCCATTCAGTTCAATATACAGTATACTCACAGTGGCCCACAAACTTTATTCTTCTTCAACTTTGTGTTTCAATGATTAGTGTAAGAAATGCTATTCCTTCATGACTGGATGTAATTTATAGGTATCATGATTAATGGCCTTAGTTACCTTTATTTATCATACTCGCATAAATTTCCAAAAATAGATCTTGAGCATTTGAAGTTAGTCAGGATTCTCTCTAATTGATATACAAACCTGTATATTCGAATGTAAAATCACTGTCCTTAGGTATTGCAAAGGTGCCTTATTCAGATCACACTACAGACTGGTTTTCAATTTTTAAACGTCTTCATCCTTATTTTTAATGGTACAAACACTTTTACAATTAATTAATCCTTGATCTCTACCCCTCTTTAACTTTAGGGCCCACAGCAACATTTCATATTTCTTTGCACTGTCATCACTCTTTGAAGCCTCTGTAAATATATCTTCCTTTTGTTTCTTTGTTTATAGCGAGATGTATTTTCTCCCCAACATTATTGAAACATGTTTGAGTTCAAATGTCCTAATATTAAACTACATATCAACATCAAAAGAAATCCAATTATAATGACACATAGTATTATGAATATTTCTGAAAACAAAACAAAAATCCCTTTTTGGCCTAAACCATAGAAAAAAAGACTATGCAATAAGTTGTTAAGTCCTAGAAAATGAGTTGTATTGCTTCCTAGTTATTATTAACCAGCTCTGATTCTAATATTATAAGACTAAAGGTTATTAAGATTAAATGGTGCTACCAAGCTGTGAATTAGGTTTATTAAGTTAAAACAACAGATGATTCTGTGTGACATATCATCTCACATGAATAGCTGTATTGATCTGAATTTAAATAGGATAAGCAGCAGAATAGGTACGGTATATGAATCACTAAATGTTGCTTTTTGAGATGAAGATAAAACAAACTGAGAGGAAAATCTCAAAATATTCATAACTGTCTACTTCAGAAAATGTTAAATATATTGAGCTAGCCCCTTAATTGGTTATGTATCATTGGCAATATCACAATGACACTAAAGATATTCATCCTGAAGCAAATGAAGAACAATTATACTTAATTCCAACCTTGCTTTTCTAAATATATCCACAATGCAAACTTACAGTAAATTACATCATGATCAACTCAGAATGATTTAGTGAGCAAACTCCAGTGTTCTATGGGCTACATAAAATAATAGATTCATGAACTGGATCCAGGATATAAAAAACACCAATTAAAATTTTCCCAACAGATTTGTGACTTTTCCCTGCATTATTAAATCTGCTTGATTTTATTCAGTTTCTCAAATACAAGTTTCCCTAGATTAGTAAACATCTTACATACTATGTGAAGAGTTTCATCTATGTGTTGACATTTAGATTTCTCAGGAAATAGGTTGATTACCTTAAGCAATACAAAGTTCATTTCTAGCTTCTCTTTTTGGGATAAATTCAAATAATATTTTTTAACAAGTGTCAGCACTCAGATTGTTTGTTTCCAGCATCTGCTAAATGGTAGCAACCAACCAATAGCATCCTTACAAAACCAGGATGGTATCAATGTAATAACACATACCTACAATGATATCATCATGTCAATGACATAATCGTGTTTTTTGCATCACAACATTTGACATATGAATATTGTAACTTTGGTGCCCCATTCAGCTCATGTTTTATATTTAAACATTTTTAATATTCATAATTTATATTATTATAGTTGGTGTCCAATATAATTCAATACTAGCATACTTGAACTTCTCTTAAAAACTTTTGAATAATGCAGAGAGGAAAGACAATTCCTATCACAGAGAACAAAAAGAGCGGGATATTTATAGTTTCAAAGAGATTAATGGAGATTCAGAGAAATGCAACTAATGGACAAAACAGATAAAAGAACAAAGAGTAGGAGAGAATCCCTGAAGGGATAAAAGTATACCATAAAAGTTTATGATGATCAAGTGACCTCTGTGGTGATCCCAAAATCACAGAAGGTAGCAGGAGGCAAGAGAGCAAGAGATCCTGAGATACCTGTTTTATAGAAATGTTCTACTCTTTAGAGGTGGCCATCCATCTGAGTATAGGCCAATGCCTTTATCTCAATTTCATTTAAGAGCTTCTTATAAAATCTAGACTAAGGTATTAATATTGACTGGCAGCACTTTATTATATCTTATGCCCATAATCTCAAATACTTTGTCTTACCTGAGTCCAGAGCATGTACTCAAAATTACTGCAGATTCAGCATATTCTTGTACATGGCCATGATAGAAGCAATGATTCTAATGAGACAGAAAAAAAGGATCAATTCCAATATACCATATATAATCTTACTACAGATGTATAATGTGTTCCATTCTTTATTATTATTATTATAAAGATCTGTTCTGAATTCCAGTGATTGAGGAAATAATCATGCTGAAAGCATTTTTCTGCCTAGTTTGAAATAATGCATGCAACTTTTCAGGGATTAATGCCTGATTTATATGAACTCAAGGCAATATCTATGCTCTACCTCATTCAGCAAAAGACAATGATCAGACAAGTATTTAAAGCAATTCTCCTGGACACGCCTGCTTTTTAAAATTATATTATTATCGGAAACCTATGATGAGAACAGTTTGTAAAATTAAACAGCAGAGGAAATTATACTGTCATTCACCTTTAGGCACTTGCTGTAGATATAAATTTTAAATTATGCAGATCCATAAGACATAATTAAGCATACTACACAATGTAATAAAACCATTTCCTATTTTACAGCTTCACAAAGAAATTGATCCTGGGAAATAGAGGGGAGAGGAAAGAGAAAAAGCACATTTTATCATCCTGGGCTGACTTGGAAGCAGATTGTTATTAAGAACAGGAATGAAAAGGAATTCTACTTTCAGAAGGCCACTCCTGTTTCACTTTGTGGCAGGTTATTGTATTTCTTTTTAATAAATCCAGATGCTTACCAAAGGAACCATAACAGAAGATACATAGTCAATAAAGTTGCGAATTTGCCTGGAATTCAAGGTTAATGCTATTGCCGATGAAATTTAATACCTTCTCCCCAGTTATGGATCTGGTTATAAAATCATGTTTGTGTCATAAACAGCATTTCTAGCTCCTTTGAATGCCATCTTAACAAAAGAATCTCTCCCTCCCTACCTCCTTTGTGAAAGGTTGTTATCTTATTAATGCAAAGAAAGCTATCTCTCATATTTCTGCATAACAGTCATCTCACCAACCTCTATTTCTTGGTTCATTCACATCTAAGCTGCATTAATTAACCTTTCAGTATCAGGGCATGGTTTTCAATTACATCGTCTCAGACAGTAGCCTTCTAAAAACCACCCTGATTTGATTAGAGAAAGTAATCATATGAAAAGATCACAATCAAGTTTTAATAGTTCAGGTGTATAAATTTTTGGCAGATTTGATCACCATGTAAAGAAAATATTAGCTTAGCCCAAAAGCTTCCTTTTAGATGAAGACATATAAAAAATGACAAGTGTTCTAGAGACAATATGCAGGGCATATCTACATGAACATTATAAAATAAGACGGTTGCCTTGAATCTTTACTGAATTACCTTTATAATCTGTTCTGGTATCAGCTTAATAAAAATAACATAAAAGGGGAAAAAGCCACATAAAGGAAATGGTGTGTCCATGTTTATGTGTTCATAATAAAAGGAGAAATACCATGCATAATAAAAAAACTATATAAAAATAATGTTCAACAAAACATACTCATTAAAAGGATAGTGGGAGGCGGGGGAGGAAAAAGAAAGCCCCACTCTTCCAACATGATTTTGTGGAAGACTGGAGAAAGTGGTGAAACTCAATAAGCCTCTAAGGACAGAATAGCACAGGGTTTCCCAAAATGGCTGGCTGGGGAATTCTGTGAGTTGAAATCTTCCCATCTTAAAGTCTCCAAGGCTAGGAAACCCTCGGATAGCAGATACTGCCCAAATATCAGGAAGCAGAGTGTTAAGTTTGAGGCATGGGTTAATGAACGGAGACCAGACTGTAAACCTTGAACTTCATCTCTTTATTTAAAGCATGTTAACAGAGACAAAAACCCCCGGATAGCGGCCGCCCTTTTATAGAGTGAACTGCTATCCGGATGACCAATGGATGATGTTATTGGGTTTGAACCTCGTCCAATGGAACTCGGCCCGCCAACAGCCAGGCAGATTGCTCGGAATGAACCAATCATAACTTGCCATTATATGGGCCAATAGGAAGTGCAGGATTACGATCCTGCTATGTAAATGAATCTTTATTAATCACATTTCTTTAGTTCACAACACCCATCCCCTATGGGTTCCTTTTGACAGCCGTGGTGACGTAATCACGCAGGTATGCAGGTTGTTTTACCTGCCTATTTGATTTCCGCTGTTCCACCGGTTTTTGTTTAAAGTTCGGTTCTGGTGGAACGCAAGGCTCGTTTTCGCACGGGGTTGATTCCGCGACACTATCAGGGTCCCTTAAGTCCATTCCTGGATCGGGCGGGCATGTTTCCACTATGGTGTTCCTCTGCGGAGAGGATGCCCCCGATTCCGGACCTTCTTCAGGTGGTGCGAGCACTTGGTTTAGCGGCCGTCTGTACTCGATTACGTCGTCGTCTATACGGTCTTCGTCCCCCTCGATATTCCCTCCCCTCTGAGTTTGGAAGTCCGGGGGGTCGCGAATATTTGGTTGTAAGCGAGATCGAAGTTGATCTATGTGGCGTTTCCATATCTTGCCATCTGTCGTCTTAAGGCGGTAAGATCTAGGGCCAGTGAGGTAGACTACGGTGGCTGGGACCCACAACGGTTCGCCGGAAAGGTTTTTGGCGTAGACCAAGTCGCCTACCTTGAATTGGCGATACGTTCCGCTGGATCCACAAGGTTTCTCTGGCGAATAAGCCGGGTGTAATCGGTCGAGGTAGGAGCGAAGCTTCCGCCCCATTAAAAGTTCGGCTGGGGTCTTGTTGGTGACACTGTGGGGGGTAATGTGTTGTAGTAAGAGTATTTTGTTCAATCTAGCGTCGATGTCCCCCAGATCCATTTTTTGTAGTGTCTTTTTAACAAATTGGACCATCCGTTCTGCTCTACCGTTTGCCGCAGGGTGAGCCGGCGAAGTCAAGGCATGGCGGATACCCTGGTCCGCCAAGTATTGTTCGAAGGTGAGAGCAGTAAACTGGGTTCCGTTGTCAGAAACTAGAATGTCCGGGAAACCGTGTGTTGCAAATAATCTATCTAGTTTTTTAATAACGGAGTCAGTAGTCGTGCTTTTCATCTTGTGGATTTCGAGCCAGTTGGAGTAAGCATCCACGGTTAGGAGAAAAGTGTGTCCTTTAGTGGGTCCTGCGAAATCAATGTGGATGCAGGACCACGGGCCTCGAGGAGTTTCCCATTCGGTGACGAGGAGTTTCCCTAGGCGACAATATATGCGGCGTTGGTTTATCACCTGCTAAAATGCCAAGTAAAGGCTTGTGGTCTGTAACTAGAGTAAAGGGCCGCCCGTAAACATATTCGTGAAACCGCTTCACGGCCGATACAATACCAAGAGCCTCTTTGTCAAGTTGGCTATAGTTTCATTCAGCCTTTGATAACGTGCGGGAAAAGTACGCAATAGGAGCCTCATTCCCGTTTGGTAACACATGGCTCAAAATGGCTCCAACCCCAAACGGTGACGCGTCGGACGTAATATTTAACGGCAAAGTCTCGTTGTACTGCATTAGCACAGTGTCGGAGGTTAACAAGTCCTTCACCTTTCTGAAAGAGCGCTCTTCTTTGTGACCCCAAACCCAAATAGCTTTCTTGTCGAGAAGTTGATGTAAGGGTTCGGCTACTGTTGCCTTGTGAGGCAAGAAGATGTTGTAAAAATTGATGAGTCCCAAGAAGGCCTGGAGATCAGCCTTACTTTTAGGTCTTGGGGCGTTTTTAATTGCTTTGAGTTTGGTCTCGGTGGGGTGAATCCCTTGTTTATCGAGGAGATACCCAAGAAACTCCACCCGCTCAGTACACAGTTGACACTTATTTTTTTTCACCTTGAGGCCGGCGTCTTTGAATCTATGCAGAACTAGTTTGAGACGCCGTTCGAGCTCTTCTTTATTAGGGGCAGCAATTAAAACGTCATCAAAATATGGCACAACCCCTTTTATGCCTTGCAAAAGTCTCTCCATTAGACTCTGAAATATCCCGGGGGCTACACTCACTCCGAACTGGAGTCTGTTGCATTTAAAGGCACCTCGGTGTGTAACAATAGTCTGGGCCACTGCGGTTTCCGTATCAATGGGTAGTTGTTGATATGCTTGCGCTAAGTCTAACTTTGCGAAGATCTTCCCGCCGCCCAGGGAGTGGAGAAGATGTTGAACCACCGGCACCGGATAAGCGCTCTGTTGGAGTGCGTGGTTCAGGGTGGCGCGGTAGTCTCCACAAATTCTGATCGACCCATCCGGTTTGATGGGGGTTACGATTGGGGTTTCCCAACGGGCATGGTCAATAGGTTCCAACACCCCTTGGGCTATTAACTTATCAAGTTGCTCATCGATCTTGGGTTTAAGGGCGAATGGCACCCGACGAGGCTTAAGGCGGATAGGGGCTATTTTTGGATTGAGGCTAAATGATATAGGGGTCCCCTTGTACTTGCCTAAGTTGTCCGAAAACACATCCTGGAATTCTTGGACGATGCCTTTTTCCCAATCATCGCTCTCGGCATGGTGAATGCCGGCTAATTCAATCCCTAGTGGGGCGAACCATTGTAGGCCTAGCAAGCTGGGCCGGTTACCATCGACAACAGTCAATGGAAGTGCTGCACTACGATTTTTGAAGGTTACTCGGACTTGAGTCAAGCCGGCGACTGGAATCGTGTTCCCCTGGTAATCGCTGAGGACGATCTTCTGGGTGCTGAGATCCTGACGACGGATGGCAGGGATGAGTTGTTTGAGGGTTTTCCAGGAAACCATCGAGAGGGACGACCCCGAATCGACTTCCATTTGGCAAGGTTGGTTTTCTATGGTGACTCTCACTCGGATTTTCTGTGCGTCTAGTAGCGAAGCGTGGCCGATGGTTGTCGTTTGGTGTGCCTCTTCCCGTTTTGCTTGAAGAACCGGTGCCCTGTTTCTGTAGGAGTGGTTGTTCTCTTGGTTACCCAAGCGATGCCGATTTACAAGAACGTTTCTTGCAGGTTGTCGGAGGTTGCTCTCCCTTCGGTTCGGGTTGGACTCTCTCTTGCTTCTGCAGGCCCGTGCGATGTGGCCTCTCTTCCCACAGGCGTGGCAGAGTGCGTAGCGGAATTTGCAGTTG